TTTTTCTGGTGTGCCTCCAATCGCAGCGCTCAAGCGTTGACGTCTCGCCGAACTTCTCCATTGCCAGCCAAACAGCTTTCCACGCAATTTAAAGCCATTTCACCCGATTTTATAAGGCCTTGTGCCCGTTGCTGGACTTGTCAACGTGGAGCACGCAGTAGATGAATGAGGGTCTGTAACGTGCTCCTGCCAAGTAGAGCGGTTGAGGTTACGAGTGATGTGATTTGCCCTGAGGCGCCATCCGATTGTCGATGTATCAAAGGTAGAGCGCCAGTGCTCTTCTAACTTCTCTGCAACTTCGCGATGGGAACATTCTGCTGTAGCTCCAGCACGATCCGTATGCTCAGGTCTGATGCAGGTAACCAAAAATTGCTCCAGGTCTTTAGCTTTTGATATCGCCAGTCCATATTCGAAGATGAGAAGTTTAACGGTCTTCCCACGTGACGAAACCAGCCACTGATTCCATGCCTGTTTGGACTTGGTGTTGTCCACAAGGTGATTGTTGAGCTTACCTGCATCACTTTTGTCCATGCCAATTGTGTAGGGTGTTCTTGCGACCAACTTTCTCCTAGCTTAATGGCTCGGCCTTTCACGTGCTGGATAAATGCATCCCAGATCTTTTGAATGATTTCCCCGAACGTGTCTCCATTAGCAACGAAATCATCAAGTGTGTTGCCAGAGGAATCACGCTGACCAACCGTATTCTTGATAATAGGTCGGACTACAAGCTGAAACCGTTTCTCCTACGCACAACTTCTTTGGACGGTGTGGTACAGCAGGTTCGGCTTGCACTGCGGTCAAGGCCGTTGCTGCCGTTGCACTCACTTGCTGTTGGACCGGGGATGTGGGCCTGTCCACTGCTGTTAGCGATACGTAAGGTGCTAAAAGCTCGGGCTGCTCCATAATAACCCTTGCTCTGCTTTCACGTTCGGGTGCTGGAGACGAAGTAAGACCGGAACCCGATGATACGTGAGAGGATCGTTGCGATTGTAATCTCTCGGGTGTGGCACTTTCTTCTTCAGCACCCACGGCAATGTGTCGTCTCTCTGAGTATGGTGAAGCCCGCATTCGTGCTCTTGAAGACCTTTGTATAGCCGTCGCAGCGATCTGAGTAGCAGTTCGCGCGCTGTTCATGTTGCCTCTGTAAGATTGAAGCCATCGTGTGAAGCCAACACCTGTGTTATGCAATATCACATACGTGCGGCCCTGCCTACTTGCATTTGAAATAAGAGAGGATGAGCTATTGATGGCTGGATTTCGTGTGGGCGGTTAACCAACCCCTCAATCCAATTTCGAGTAGAACTCACGGGGCACCTACAGATAGGACTTCTACCAACACAAACGAAAATATCACCAATATGGATCTGAGATGTTATGTAGAGAACTAGATACAGGGAAGATTAAAGACTCCACTGCAATAAGGAATAATCACTGTTCGTGGACTCTCCACGGTGGTAGCCGTTGATATCGCACTACCGACCAATACATCACTCGGGTGTACGACGTCAGCCAGTACATTAAACTGCGTCGATGGTCGATGTACGAAACCACGATATGCAGTGACGTTCCAGAAGATGGATGCATGGAATGCGGAGAAATAATGAGGGGGGGTCCCGACAGGACTGCACTCGGGCTACTCATGGA